TTTTTTCGGACAATGAGATGTTTGATCCAGCAGATGGAAAAAGTCATGATCACAAAAATCAAACAACCAAATCCATGCACTTTGATCTATGATAGAAAACATCTCTGTCTGTTCAGTTTCACCTAATTCCTTTTTTTTTGTTGTTGTTGTTGTTGTTTTTCCACTCCGTACCCTGATGTTGCGAGTGCCAGTTCTCAGAGCCCTCAGACATCCTTTGTTATTTCCACGAACCCAGTTACTGAATAATTGAGTAAGGTAAATGTTTAACATGTTTTTACAAGTTCCTTGCTGCGCTGTTGTGAAGAGCCACTGTTTGTTGGGTCTGGAAGAAACACTTGGTTGCTTTGCTTGACAATGATGTGCTTCCATAGAAGACCACCTCGCTGTTTTGCCCCCTCCCACCTCGCCCATCTTGTTCTCATTCACAGTGGCTCGCTAGCAGCTGCAACACACCAGCTTAATGCGTCTTCAAATGTCAGAAGAAGAATGACTTTTTGTTTATCTTGACTTCTGCTTTGCTGTTTATTCTAGGCGAAGCTGCATTTGCATCAACCTTGATTCCCCAAAGCCTGCGCCCCCCCCCCCCCCCCTTTCCTCTCCCCTCGCCTCCTCCCAGAACCTGTTTACACTCCGCCTGCCCCTAGTGTCACCTAGGAAATCGCCTGATCATTCCACCTGGTTAATATTAAATGGCTCCTGCAAGGAGATTTGTTTGTTCATAAACACAAACCCCCGCTCCTCCTGTTTACTGTAGCCATGGCAGCAATCACTTATTAAACAAACAGCTGCTTTGTTTGCCAGTGTGAGTGGTCTGCTTATAAACCGCACAAGGTCTCTGGGAAGAAAGTTTAAAAATGCTCCCATGTCTTGTGTGGTGCAGAGATGTAGGGTTTGCGATGGAGGTATTACTTGCAGGGGGTGGGGTGTGTGCTCCTACTATATTGTCACAGTAGTCTGGAGATATGCTTTGCTTATCTGTGACTTGGTTGAAGTGGCTGACAAGATTACATGGTTGTTTGGTCTGACTGTGAAGTCTCCTTTGGCAGAATGTCATCCACGCTGTTAGTTCCTCTCAGCAGAGAGCGGCCAGAGGATCGCAGTGAGAGCGTCAGCGATTGATTGAGGTGGCCGCGATTTGCAAAAGTCCCCCTTTTCTGCAGAGAATACATGGGAGGGCGTGGGACTACAGTTTGGAAAGGTTGCTTGGATTTAGCCCAGTTTCTGCGTCTGTTGTTTCCAAGAGACTCAGAGTAGTTTGTTATCAGTGATGCGGGCTGTGATAATGGATTATTTAACATACAGCTTGTGTCTTTAGACTTTTCCCTAGAATCAGGAGCCAAAATACAGCAAAACATAAGACTCTTAACAAACCTTGAGAAGCTTTCTGTTGTTGCACCTTCGGTACATGCTGATGTGTTGTCTAGTCTAGCAACCAAGCCGAACCTAAACAGCTCTAAAGTGAACCTCTCCCCATTGTCTCCTCCTTTGTGTGTCTTTATCTCCCACCCAAGAAATGTTGTGCTTTTGTTGTGTGCTTGTGTAAACAAGGGCTGTGTGAGAACTTGGTGAGTCGAAGCAGGTGGCCGCTGAGGCTTTACTGTCATGAGCATTAAAGAAAAACAGAACATGGAGAAGGGTCAGAGCACAGCTGCGCGGGCCGACCCTACCTTGAATCGACTGCTGACTTGTTTGAGCTGTTGAATTCTAGGCAAGCATGACAGGGGGACAGGCATTATGTTTCCACTGAGGGGGGGGGGGGGCAGAGGCAGGGCTGATGAGCTCTGGCCGCCGGCTGTTCTTAACCTTCAACCTGTCTGGTCAGGTGGGAGACACATGAGACTCTTGTTTGTACTGTACTCCTCATATTTGAGGCAGGGAAAACAAAACAAACTGTAAACAAACAGAAACTCTGACCTTTTTTATTATCCAGTGTTTGTTCCAAACACTTGTTTTGTTTTGCAAGCAACTCGCCCCAAAGAACAGAGAGACATCTAATAATCAACAGCACTGCCAGTTCTTTTTCTACAAACTGTTGTTGCCTTGTTTTGCTCTCCTGGAATTTCCATTATTTTGATTCTTTAAAAAAAACCAAAACTTTTCCAGCTCAGAAAAAAAAGTGGATACACTTCATTATTAATACAATTTTTTTTTTCTCATGTCTCTTTTTTTGTCATTTTATGTAGAAATGTTTGTGTTTGAAGCATGAATACATATGATCTTAACCCCAGTAACTACACCCCTTTTAGCAGGACACTTGACCCATAATTACAGCTGAATTCGTTCACGTTGTATAAATGGAACGGATGGAAAAAACTTGGAGCTTTTTGAGTCATCTCAGACGAGGCTATCCCCTGAGCAAAGCGAAAATAAATAGATAGATAAACAAACACAGGCCAAGTCACGTGGCCGAGTTGCCCGGGCCCAGCTGATGATGGTGTCCCTGCCTCAGTGCTTCACAGATTAACATTGTTATCAGCACAACTCTCTAATAAGGCTCTTTCCTATCTGCTTGATATTTATGATGGATAATGCCTCTTTTCCATTTTCTTTTTTCCTCCAATTTTTTCGCTCATGATATTGCAGCTTTGAATTATTCTGTGGTAAAATTAATGAGAAAGTAGATTTATGGGTTTCATTTGTTTGTCAATTCGAAAATTAATTGGGTGTTAATTTTAGCCATCCCCTCATCAGTGCCGGTTCCAAGCATGCGCGCATTACTTTGCATTCATTGTAGCTATTCTCTCCTTTATTGTGGGTCACTAGTTTTGCATACATTAAAATAGCCCTGCGGCTCATTCTCTTGATTACTTTTGGAGATGCCATGCATTTGGAAATTTACGCCTTTCCGTTATAATTATGAAAATTTTGCATGGAATGACAGTGCATGTATAATAGCCATTACTTACTCCCCTTTTATGTAGCTTTGGAAAAAAAAAGAAAGCAGGCCCTCTTTTTTTTTTGCGTGTGGAAAAATGTCTTTTATTTGAAAAATAAGTGGGGGTGAATAACGTCAGCACATGGTTTATTTCAAATGGCATTTAATTTCGCCCGAGAATGTGCGTTTCTAATTGGTGTCTCAGAAGGGGAGTTGGTGCAAGCAAGGGCCTGTAGATGGAGTTGTGGCTGGCTACATCCCATCCCACAGTATTCTTCTTGCTCACTCCTTGTTTAGAAAATCCCATTATGGAGGGAGCCTGTGCCAGACTGGAGGGGTGAGCCGGGTCAACATCTGTCTGGAGGGGGAGGGGGGCGGCTCTAGCCCCAGCCCAGAGAACAGGGCCTGTAGGCCGGGCCCAGGCTGCTCAGACAGGCCCCTGAGTGTGGGGGCGTAGTGACACACAACTGAACCGGCACAGGCCACAGTGTCAGATGACTCACTCGGTTATGCTTCTTGCAAGGAGGGCTTCTCCAGGAGAGGAGATGTAAACCATGAAGCACTTTGGGTTTGATTTTTGCACTGGTGCTGTTTTAGCTCACTGTAGCCCACAACTGCTACTGATGATACTGAGCTGGGAGACTATCCCCTAGTACCACGGTTTAAAAGACCAGTGCTGCTTATAGTGCTGTTTATTTTTTAATAATCCCATGTCTAGATTATTATCTCACCTATGCTCTGTAAATATTCTTTGGTGCCAACTTGTCAACCTCAATTTCCTATCTGTCAGCCTGAGTGTGTGTCCCCATGGTGTCTGGGTGTGTGTCTGCATCTTGTTTAGATCTGGATCTCTGGAGACACTGTGCTCGTGCATTTGAGCACATAAACGCAACACCATAAATCTGCATTTAGTTCCATTTTCACCTTCTTTCATGATGAGGCCCACTGTTTTAAAGGCATTTATTCTGGTTCATATAAATAATTAATCAGCCAAGTTAATTCGCTTCTGCCTGACTTGGTCAGCTTCATTAACCACCCTGGAATTGGGAGGCTAGACGCAGTGCACCAGCGAGGCCTGTGACCAACACACAATAGCTGTAAATCATTCCACTGATTTGAGGAATACAGGCCCAGATATGCACCGGTGTCAGTGACACTCATCCCCAGAAAGGCAGAGGGGTGGTGGGAGGGGAGACACGGGAGCGGGGGGGTGGTGGTGGGGAGACGGCATGTCTGTCTGGCTTTTGTGTATCCAAAAGCAGAACAGAGGATATAAAATGTAAGCAAATAACTGTGCATTCACATTTAACACTGATTACACTGTTGTATTTTGACATAAAGCAAAAAAGCATGCCGATATTTGTTTGTTATCCTTTTGAGTAAGATTAAGTTATGAAAGACAACCTTTTTTCCCAACAACTCAAAGGGGGTTTATTTATATTCAGACCTGTATTTTGGTGTTAATTGAGCACCCCTGAAGGATTTGACTGTTTTCGCTTGGCCTCAGATTGACTGTTTCTCATGGAGATCCTTTGGCAGGCCTCACACAGTCGCCCTGTTTCCCATTAAAAAGCCATTCTACCGTGGTTCTTCTGGGAGCCATGCAAGTAAATATATCCATTTCCATAGAAAGTGTTTTGTTTTGGAGGTCCAGTGTTTTCTTGGGCTCCTCTGCTCTCACTCAACTCAGGTTGGGTTCCTCTCCGATGTGCGCTGGACCCCAACCCCTCCACCGCACCGCTGCATATACCCCACAATGGAGAACACAAACAAAACCTGAGTCCCACTCACTTCTCTCAAGCCCAGTAAGGACTTGTCATCTGCAAAAGATCTGCACCGGAAAAGACAAAACAAAGGAGTAGTTCATTACTGTGTGGAGAAGCGGTCTGTGAGAGCGTGTGCGTGTGTGTTTGCCTCATTGCATATGCTACATGCAAACAAACAAGACACAGGGAAGCACAAACCAACAGGGAAACCTGCAATAAAAGTGAAATTGTGTGGGAAGGATATGACAGATGTTTATAGTTTGGCCCAGAGTTGAAATGCGACCTCATTGCTGTGTGTTTTAACAGCTGTTTCTCTCCGTCTCTGTCCCTGTTTTCTCTCTTTCTGTGTCTTCTCTCAGGTTTTTAAGTCATGATGCAAGAATCTGGGACGGAGGCGACGAGCAATGGACCAGCCAGTCAAAATGGAGGAGCGAGCATGGAGGGCGGTTCCAGGGAGGGACGACCCAAGAGCGCCACGCCGTCAGTGGAGGTGACTGCAGCTGACCTGCTGCATCTCCAGCAGCACCAGGTAGAACAGTCCCCCTTTCACACCTGTCTTCACTTTATTAAGCCATGTCAACAGCAGGCCTGATCCCCCTCTTAAAGTGCCACTTAATATTTAATTCCATCTCAAAGTACATCTAGTACATAAACACATTATTATTATTATTTATGTATATTGAGGCTCTCTTTGAATATTTAAAGAAGGGGAAGTGCTCTCTCTGTGTGATTGTGTTTGGTTATGAACGTGTTTATCGTAGCATGCAGCATCTGCATTTTGGTGAAATATTTATAATGCTGTTCTGACATATTTCAAGTATGTAGGTGCCACAGGATTGTGTAGACACCATGACATCCAATAGGATGACAGCATTTTCCTCTGGCTCATTGTAAACACACCTCACACTCACAACTAATGCCACACTCTGCCGTGTTAACCAATGAGATGTGGAGATACACGCCGGCTTTAGCGTCAGCGAAGCCCAAAACATTTTCACCATCTCCGACTTGAGGCAAACAGACAAGCTTTTTCTGTTGGTGTCAGCATTATGTGTGGCACACGACAGTGTGTTTAAGGAAACAACATTGAAAAGATCAGTGTGTCTTCTGCTATCTCGGTCTATCCGACAGGACGACCAGGGTTGTTGTCAGGAGCTGTTTGGTGATGATGCACAGGCTGCGTGCCGCTGTCTGTTGTCACAGTACATCCATCAGGGAGGGCAGCAATGCTACAGCGTATAACGGCATGCTGTAGCGTGGGGGATATGGTGCTGTAACGTATAGAGCTGAGCAGTAATTCAGTTTCATCATTCATCATATTTCATATATATGATCCTATTTTGTGATACACAATTATGTTGTCAGAAATGACGATAACCAGCAGATTCGTTCAACACGAGGTATGGAAAATATGTTTTTGTAAATAGCTTAGCTTTTTGAAAAGGCGTTGCTTGACTTCTGACTTGATGTGATATGCAGGGCAATGCAGTGCAAAATAAGTTTTATCATAATATGCACAATCATTAATGTGAAGTGTACTGCTCTGCCCTACACATGTATCACTTGAATAGTAATATGACCTCATAAGTGGTTACTTCTACATTGTGATTAGTCCTATCTTTTAATTATTTCTCCATTACCCATGCTTTATGTAATTGTAGAGTAGAACGATGTATGAGTAATTGGTAGAGGAGCAAACATGTGCGAATGTGATGTTTTAGTTGTCGTCATCTAGTCTATGCCGTGGAACAGGGTGCCTCTGTTAATCGCATTTTTTCAGGGTATTAAGTGGGAGCGTATTGGAATAAACCCCAAAGAAGAAGTGTTAGCTAATCAGTAAGTAAAAAGGACATGTCAGCGTGCTTCCTGCTCTTCAGTCTCAGTGTTAGGCCTTTAAGGCCTTTCCAGATCTGCTCTTCATCCCCACTCCCCCTGCTCCAGACCCCGCTCCCAGACCTCACCTCCAACCCATCTTTTTTTCCAGCTCAGAATGAGCATGTCGTCAGTGAGAAAATCACAGCCATACTGAATTCATTACTGCAGTAGTCACACAAAACCATGGATAAAATTTCAATAACTGCAGGCCACAGTTGAGTAAACAGTTGCACTGAAACTTAATTCCTGTTGACTTTTCCTTCATTCTTTGCCAGGGGCACATTCTGATTCGCTCTGCAAAGACAACAGGGTTACAACTTTGATGAATGTGAGGCAGGGGAGAGGGAGAGGGAATGAGAGAGAGAGAGAGAGAGAGAAAAGTGTCATGGATGTGCACTTGACACCAAGAAGGGATGGAAATAAAGCCTCCCCGCTAGAATAGAGCTAGTCGTCCAAGCATGGTCCCTGTTTTCTAGTCATCCAGAAAGAGCTATTACTCTCCAGGATCTGCCCTGGCATTTAAAGGGAGGAAAAACGAGCAACTTTCTCTTTCCTATTTCAGTGGATTACAGTCACGTTTTCTGCCCTCTGCTTTCTGCTGTGGCAAATAGCAAGCGCTTTTTGCTTTATGCCTTTTGAACAAATCCACTGGTTAATTTCTGTGGCCTCCAGTTGGGAGTTGAAACAGAGGGAGGTGTATTAATTGTTGTGTGTGATAAATGGCGCGTGGATGTGGACGAAGGACGAGATGTCTCACTCTCAGCTCCTGACACTGGGCTTTGATAGGCTACTTACCAGGGTAGTGTTACTGGGAAGGCAGGCAGGCAGTCTTTTTATTCTCCCATTAGACTAACCCAGGATTTTCACTCATGCACCATGAACCATGTTAATTGTCCCCAGGGCATTACGATCTTCGCTCAATTACTTGATAACTTTTTACTTTTGTGGCATTTCACAGTCTTTTCTTTTAAGTTTTATTTGCAGCTCGCACTAATACGGCTCTAACTGACACACTGAGGGTTTCTTTTATTCTTTGTTCTCCTCAAAACATCCAAGATGCTATTACCTCTTTAGGTGAGGCAAAAATCAATCTGGAATCTTTTCAGACTCAAATGTCTGAGAGTCCCCTGAGTGAGCGGGAACAACAAACCTGGTAGTGGCATATCATTTATTCTTATTAGGGAACATAACTATGAAAGACAGTGCTCATTAATAAAGACGGGGGATGAAATAATTGTAATCTGTTTGATCATCTTGATTCTGACAGGGGAATTCATCTTGTAGACTAGTCAGATTTGGGGGAAGTGGACCATAAGCTTGATTTAAGCATCTCTATTAGTAAGTCAGATACTGTTTGTTAAGAACTGAGAATTAAAAAAAACGGCCCTTGTCCTCTGAGTTCACTGTTTGAGGAACTCTGTTGTGGATATCTGTTGTGTTGTAATAGCTGGACGTTTGGGTGTGTTTATAAATGTTGTTATGCATCTTGTTGCTTTTCAGGCTTTGCTTAATTGTTTGCAGTTGTTTGTGCATAATATATGGATATCTCCTTTTTTTAGAACACAAATATAATATTTTTTTCATAACATACTGTATGTGTTTGCCCTAGAATCTGGCATCTGTGTGTTTGTTTGTGTTGCAGAAGTTGTGGTTTTAACGTTGTCCACATGAGGAAATGAAGATACTGTAGGAGAGAGAAAATAAAACAAAAAACAATAGCATGAAAGAGCTTTTGCAATAACCTGTTTTGTGATTTGTGATTTAAATGGTTGTGCAACAGGAAGTCGTGTTGTGTAGCTGTTGTAGTCAAATAAACACACAGTGACAATAATGATGTTTGAGACTTTGTATCAGTTTTGAAGCTGTTGTTCAACTCCCTGCACGGATTTCCTGTGATGTGTGGTCATTTTCAGCGTTTCTGCGTTTATAACATCTCACATGTTTAACCGTGTCAGCCATTCCTTCACTCCAAACTTGGTTGAACTGATGCTGATAATATTATTTTCCTGTCTTTTAGATGAGCCCTTTAAATGAAGTGATACTGTACAAATACACCCCAACAGTACCATAGAAGAAAAAACATAAAATAATTGCTCTTCTTTTGTTGTAGATATCCACCAAGTCTGCTCCATCAAACAAGTGCCTTTAAGGCTTTGTTATTCATCACCCAATTATGGATATGTTCTTTCTTCTTTTCTGCCTGTGTGGCTGAGGTGTCCGTCATGTTGCGTGTACAGACAGGAGAGAGTGACACGCATCACAGTGGCCACAGAAAGAGCTGAGTGGGCACAGGTTTACTTGTTTGCATAATGCAAGGCTTACACAGTCTCATGTGGAGGCTTGAGAAGGTGGAAATGCACGTCTCAGCCAGCGTCACCCAGCTCTGTTCTGCCAAGCTTCAGGGGGAAGTGCTAGATGATAAGCTTCGCTATCAAAGTACACACACACACACACACACACACACACACACACACACACACACACACACACACACACACACACACATATACAAACATGTACATGCTCAGAGGCTAGGCCTGGCGGTGCACGGCCTGCTGGTTTCTGGCGTCCCGTCCACATTACGGGCTAATGGTCAGACTGAGAGAGTTAACAGCGTCAGGTCAGAGAGGAGGCCAGAGAGCGTTTGCTGCCTCAGATCTCTGCTAATCACATGTACGCTGCTGCTGAGCTGAGGGCAAGAGAGAGAGAGTGCTATGCCTGGATTGAAATACATACAGTGTTATGGTGTTTCACAAGAAGAACGCAGCCTTATCGCCGCACTTTTGAATTGAATTCCTGCCAGTATCTCTGTATTCACTCTTCTACAGAATTATATATCTGTGCAGTGCTGAATATTTGACATGTGTGATAAAGGCTCCTTTGCTCTGGGTGCTTTTTGACCAATAGCTGTGGTGCATTATCCTACTGAATGTGTGCTTCCTTCATGAGTCTTGTCATCTTAGTCCTGCACTGTGCAAGAGTGCATCCACAGAGCGGATCACGCTGAACAGATTCCCCACTGTCTCCCTGTGCACACTCCTCCATCTCTAGGAGCTCTCAGGTATCTTCATGTATAGTGTTCATATTGTCACAGGAGGCCAAGCACCGGCTCCAACTTATTGGAAAATCTGGCAGAGAGGATAACATCAGTGTTATGACACTGCATATTGCCCTAAATTGCGTTATTGGTAAAATGATAGTGCTCGTCCAATTTGAATAATTTTATGGAATCCCTCACAGAACAGTTTAATTATGTTATCACACAACTGGCAACATCTGTCTTTATACCACAGCACATGACAGTTTTATTACAGGCTGAATTTCTTTGCTGGTTCTGGCAATTGATGTGTGATCTGATTAATAATCACACAGATGGAGGTGAAAATTGAACAGTGATACGCTGCTATGTCGAAAAAAGGGGAAATAATTATTAAAGTTAAAAAAAAGTAGAAAAAAACAGCCTGTGTCAGTGAAAATATCACAAATATTTTACTAAAGCTTGAGCTTCTTTCACATGAAGCATATTGCTTTTTTAAACACAGTTACATTTTTTTTTATCAGGAAAAAAAAAAATCTGTTTAGTCTAGGTGCAACTTTTCAAATCCTTTTGTCACCCAGTTTTGTTAGTGAGGTTTTGGGAGGTAAACCACCCAG